GACAAAGTCATCAATACCGCCAGTCGGCAAAAATACCACGATTGTTCAATTTGCCGCGATTGGCGGGTGCGCATGGCGTGCGGAAGGAGAGTATGAAAGGTTTTTAAAGTCTACCAGAAAGCGAAAGACTATCAGTAATTGAAGTCTATGTCAAACCAGCGTCATGGGAGTTTATATATCACCGATTCGTGGAAAGTCAAGCCGAACTGTTTTGTATTGCATCATCAATTTCTGTTTTAAAATCGATAGCCGTTGGATTCAAAATGGTTTATTCGGTTGTACCGTCAAATTAGCATATCAACAGATCTGGTTTTTCATTAGGCGCATTATCACGGAAAGCTCGGTTGTTAGTTGAGCAGCGCCATATTGAAACATCGCACTATCACAACAGCTGGTCAATGATATAGTAATGTCTGTGTCAATTAATGATCGCACAGCTTGCGAACAAACATAAAGTTGAAGATCGAAGACGAATTAAACATCGCTAGAAAAGATTGATTTCATTCATTTGTTTCAGTTAGCATTGTCGGCGCAGATTATCAGTTGTGCAGCGCCTACCGGCGAAAATTGCGATACTTCCAGATTTATCGATGCAGTGATCTTTAAAGATAGTATCTTCAACCGTTACTTTATAAAGAGAAATATATCGTTTTGTGTCATTTTCATTGCCGTTTGTCAAAAATATTTATCGAATTGTTGCGACAAGCAGGATTAAGATAAGTTTTGCGATGTACCAAAATCGTCGATAGGCGATTCGCCGAGCTGGAGTTTGCCGAATACGTAGCCACCCATCACATGTCAACAAACCGCTTACTCGCGAGTGGAAATAGATCAGAATCGCCAAACCCATCGGTGACAGGTTAAATTCGTTCCATGCATAAAAACCATCTGTCAATACACCAAAACTTCGTCGCATAACCTTAGTTATGATTATAAATATCATACGAGTATAGAGCAATAACCTGCAAATGAAAATGACACAAAAACTAGAATATATTTCTCTTTATAAAACAACAGTTTGAGATACTATCTTTTAAGATCACTGCATCAGAATTCATCCTCGAATATTATCTGGCACGCTTTAACTACTAAAAACACGTAGGGGAACCCGTGCACCGCACAGCTGATTGCTACTTCCTCGGCGCTGTACACAGTAATCTTAATCCCCGCATATAAGACAATGCTCTAAGCAAAACAAACGTCCAGAACTAAATAGGTAAATCAATCTTTTCTTAGCCATGTTTAATCTGCAAATGTGACGCCTTTTGGTTTCTTCTTTGTATGTTTGTTCACGCTAAAGTTTATTACCGCCAGTCACAAATCACATTGTTGACACAAGTTTTATTCCACCTCTCTGATTGTTGTAGTAAACAAAGATTCACTTATGGCGGCTAGCTTTGATCATTGCAAGACTATCGGTTAGAAAACATTGTGATGGGTACCATCACTCAGGTAAGTTTCAAATGCGCGAAAAACAATCCGCGCTTAACAGAGCTTTTGTGAACTTCTTCCTCGTGAATATTGCACCCTGTGAAAATATATATGTATGACACAGTACATAGATCTTGGTGGTGTATTGGTGCCTTTTTGGTAGTTTTGGAATTCTGAATAAAATATTTTGGCGCTTCCATGGCAACACAGTCTTTACTTCAAAACAGAAATTAGTGGTAGTGCACTTTTCCCGAGCAGAACTCTAAAACCGCTCAATGTTTCTTCACCAAACTTGGCACATACATAGATCTGGTGGTGTACTGGTGCCTTTGGTAGTTTTGGATTTCTGAATAAAATATTTTGGCATTTCCATGGCAACAAGTTTGACATAGACTGAAATTGCGTTGATAGTGCTCCTTCTGAGCAGAACTTCAAAAACCTTCTCAATACTCTCCTTCCACTTTTCTACATAATACACACCTAAATATTTGACATAATCATAACTCGTAGACATAATCATGAAGAGCATTTTGCCATTGCGGGGATATTGATGACTTTGTCTTCCTTTGCTTTATATTGGTATTGTCCTAATTCTAAAATCCCATTTTAGTGATGATATATGCTAGTTTTATTTATTAATACTTTCGTGATATACCAGTTGTTTTAATTTCGTCCTTCATCATTAATAGTTTCTTTCAGATTTCAAGATAAGTTTGATAATCCCCTTTAAGTCACAACATGGCTGGAAATACTGCCGCCAGACTATAAACTTCAAACTCACTCACCCACTTTTAATCTGTATATTTTGTATCTATTAGTCAGCACATTTGGGAACAAAAGCCATAGATTAAGTTTTTAGTTAGGGTTTGTCATGAGGGGATATGGTGTAGAAAAGTCATACATTCTTTGAAAGAATTAAACTTTCTTCTTTCTTAGACTGCCTAAAGTTCACCTGAATATCGTGAAGGCACATAATATAGTCTTTGACTGGGTGCTCAAATAATCATTTGCATGTTATAATACATATTTTGGTCTCCTTTAGAGTTTGTGTTGGGGAGGTATTTGACCATGCATTTGGACTATTTCTATGTTACCTCATGAAGGAGTAAGGATATACTCCAAACGTTGTGTTGCTCATAATAAAGAAGTTGACATCCATAAAAACTCTCTTCCTTTACAATATTAGTTGTGAGGAATGAATTACTATCTTACGTAAGCAGTTGTGGGGAAGTTATTACCGGTATGTGTTTTAATGTTGTAGAACAGCTATAGACTAATCTCGCCCAGCAGAGCAGAGAACTTCCTGTAGGGTTGTTATTGCTATTTGATGTTGCTATGATGGACTATATTGTTACTGCCAATATATCCTGCCTTTGAGTCGTGTAGTGGATGTCTGTTGTGTACTGCCATTGTAATTACTTTGCTGCCATCTTTGTTGACTTGTATAACCGACTAGTGTGTTATACAGTTGTTTATTGTATGCCATATTTTGTTGATTTCACACAAATTTTAATGGTTAAGGCATAACACTGTTTTGACAAGAATCCACCTCAATCGTCTATGCTCTTATCTGACAAGAATTTGCCTATATTCTTTCTGCGTGTTGTAAGTGGGTGAGGCGGGGCATCTGTACTGTACTGTAACCTGGGCCATGTTGGCTATGTTACACTGTATTCATGCTGTCTGTTGTAGGTGGGCAAGGCAGGGGCTCTGGTACTGTACTGTAACCTGGGCCATGTTGGCTATGTTACACTGTATTCATGCTGTCTGTTGTAGGTGGGCAAGGCAGGGGCTATGGTACTGTACTGTAACCTGGCCCGTGTTGGTTATGTTAAACTGTATTCATGCTGTCTATTGTAGGTGGGCAAGGCAGGGCCTCTGTACTGTACTGTAACCTGGGCCATGTTGGTTATGTTACACTGTATTCATGCTGTCTATTGTAGGTGGGCAAGGCAGGGGCTATGGTACTGTACTGTAACCTGGGCCATGTTGGCTATGTTACACTGTATTCATGCTGTCTGTTGTAGGTGGGCGAGGCAGGGGCTCTGTACTGTACTGTAACCTGGGCCATGTTGGTTATGTTACACTGTATTCATGCTGTCTATTGTAGGTGGGCTTAGGCAATCGGCTCTGGTACTGTACCGTAACCTGGGCCATGTTGGTTATGTTACACTGTATTCATGCTGTTTGTTGTAGGTGGGCTGGCAGGGGCTATGGCTCTGTACTGTAACCTGGGCCATGCTGGCTATGTTACACTGGTATTCATGCTGCTGCTATCATTGTAGGTGGGGTGAGGCAGGGCTATGGTACTGTACTGTAACCTGGGCCATGTTGGTTATGTTACACTGTATTCATGCTGTTTGTTGTAGGTGGGTACTGTAACCTGGGCCAGGCAGGGCTATCTGTACTGTACTGTAACCTGGGCCATGTTGGCTATGTTACACTGTATTCATGCTGTCTGTTGTAGGTGGGCAAGGCAGGGGCTATGGTACTGTACTGTAACCTGGGCCATGTTGGTTATGTTACACTGTATTCATGCTGTCTATTGTAGGTGGGCAAGGCAGGGGCTATGGTACTGTACTGTAACCTGGGCCATGTTGGCTATGTTACACTGTATTCATGCTGTTTGGGCCATGTAGGTGGTGCAAGGCAGGGGGCTGGTATCTGTACTGTAACCTGGGCCATGTTGGTTATGTTACACCGTATTCATGCTGTCTTGTTGTAGGTGGGCAAAGGCAGGGCTATGGTACTGTACCGGTAACCTGGGCCATGTTGGCCACGCAAAAGGGAAGCATACACGGATGGCCGACCAAGACCCAGGAGAGTCTCCAGAAGTCAATACGACCTGTCCGGCAGAAGGCCGCAAAACACTCATGAGTGTTATGAAGTGGCATTTAAACCCCAATACGCAGAGAGTGTGTAGCCTGTTATGAGAAGACGGTGTTCAATCGTCCGATCCGAGAGGTTTAGCCCACCATGCACTGTGAGTCCTTTGTAGGTCCGGTGGAGACGTGGAGAACGCAGATCCCACCACGTCCACAGTGAGCAGGGCACAGCCACAGCCACGGACAAGAAACGCACGAGCCCCACCCACTGTGTGACGTACCAGAGTGGCCCACAACGTGAGACGTAGAGGTAGCACCGATCAAGACGGAGTGGAAGCCCCACTGTGTAGCCCCACGCACCAATCCACCAGCCCACCACCACACCCAAGGCCCCACAGGACCCCACTGGACCAGGAAGGAACACCGGACTGCCCCACCAGCCCCACCGGACCAGCCCCACGAGACCCCACTGCCCACAGGAGATGGAGGATGCCCACCACCAAATGGAGGAAGGAATGGACTGGAGGAATGTAACCCGACCAGGAGTGAGATGACAAATGGAAGGACCGGTGGAGAGTGGCTGGAAGCACAAAGAGATGGAAGCCCCACACTGCTGAGTGAAGGATCAGGAGATGTGTGAAGGACTGACCCATGAGACAACCCACAACCCCACTGCCCACTGGAAGGACCCCAGATGCATGACCAAAAGACGTAGCTGGACTGACAAATAGCCCCACCGTGGAGATGAGTAACCACCAGGAAGACCAGATGGACCCCACACGTGAGACCACCAAAGACTGGATGCCCACTGCATGGACCCACCAAAAGAAGGAACTGACCCCACCAGGAGATGGCCCACCAAAGAGATGGAGAAATGGACCAGAGACCAGTGGCCCACTGTGAGACCAGGCAGCCACCAGATGTGTGGAAGGACTGTGAGATGGACCCCACTACTGTGAGATGTGGAGAGTGTTTGTAGCTGACTGTGAGATGTAGAGAGTGTGTGTAGCTCACTGTGAGATGTAGAGAGTGTGTGTAGCTCACTGTGAGATGTAGAGAGTGTGTGTAGCTCACTGTGAGATGTAGAGGTGTGTGTGTAGTGTGTGTGTGTGACTCCTGTGAGTGAGATGTAGCTCACTGTGAGATGTAGAGATTGTGTGCAGCTGACTGTAGAGATGTAGTAGTGTGTGTAGCTGACTGTGAGATGTAGAGATGTAGTGTGTGTAGCTCACTGTGAGATGTGGAGATGTGTGTGTGTGTAGCTCACTGTGAGATGTGAGTGTGTGTAGCTCCACTGTGAGATGTAGAGAGTGTGTGTAGCTCACTGTGAGATGTAGAGAGTGTGTGTAGCTGACTGTGAGATGTAGAGAGTGTGTGTGTGTAGCTCACTGTGAGATGTAGAGAGTGTGTGTAGCTCACTGTGAGATGTAGAGAGTGTGTAGCTCACTGTGAGATGTAGAGAGTGTGTGTGTAGCTGACTGTGAGATGTAGAGAGTGTGTGTAGAGAGTGTGTGTGGCAGCTCACTGCCTGTGAGATGTAGAGGGAGATTGATGTGTAGCTCACTGTGAGATGTGGGAAGTGTTGTAGCTGAGATGTAGAGAGTGTGTGTAGCTCACTGTGAGATGTAGAGAGTGTGTGTAGCTGACTGTGAGATGTAGAGAGTGTGTGTAACTCACTGTGAGATGTAGAGAGTGTGTGTAACTCACTGTGAGATGTAGAGAGTGTGTGTAGCTCACTGTGAGATGTAGAGAGTGTGTGTAGCTCACTGTGAGATGTAGAGAGTGTGTGTAGCTCACTGTGAGATGTAGAGAGTGTGTGTAGCTGACTGTGAGATGTAGAGAGTGTGTGTAGCTCACTGTGAGATGTAGAGAGTGTGTGTAGCTCACTGTGAGATGTAGAGAGTGTGTGTAGCTGACTGTGAGATGTAGAGAGTGTGTGTAACTCACTGTGAGATGTAGAGAGTGTGTGTAGCTCACTGTGAGATGTAGAGAGTGTGTGTAGCTCACTGTGAGATGTAGAGAGTGTGTGTAGCTCACTGTGAGATGTAGAGAGTGTGTGTAGCTCACTGTGAGATGTAGAGAGTGTGTGTAGCTCACTGTGAGATGTAGAGAGTGTGTGCAGCTCACTGTGAGATGTAGAGAGTGTTTGCAACTCACTGTGAGATGTAGAGAGTGTGTGTAGCTCATTATGTAGAGAGTGTGTGTAGCTCATTATGTACTGTAGTGAGAAGAGCTAGTTTGTCACAGTGTGCTCTATACTGTGGCTTTCTGATATTCCAACAGAGAAAACCTGACCATTGTGCGGGAACTGGGTGATCGGGCAGCACAGGGCCGTGCATGTGGAAACCTGGGCAACACCCACTACCTCTTGGGCAACTTCAGCCAGGCCATCAAGTTCCATGAAGAGGTGATTTCACCAGGGTGCATTCGTACTTTCTATACTGTAACGTTGACATACGACAGTTGTAGTGCTACGAGAGCTTTGTAAAACGGGGCCCAGGACACACCACTACTACTTAACTGATGTCCAGATAACTGTGTTCCTGTTTGTTCCAGAGACTGGCAATAGCTAAGGAGTTTGGAGACAAGGCAGCTGAGCGTCGGGAGTACACTAACCTGGGGAATGCACACATATTCTTGGGAGAATTTGAGATTGCAGCAGATCAATATAAGTAAGTTTCCATGTTGCGTGATATGTCTCTGCTGGACAGGTTCAGTTTGCTGGGTTCCAGGGTGGTAATGCAGCAGAGCAATATAAGTAAGTTTACATGTTGCGTGACATGTCTCTGCTGGACAGGTTCAGTTTGCTGGGTTCCAGGGTGGTAATGCAGCAGAGCAATATAAGTAAGTTTACATGTTGCGTGACATGTCTTTGCTGCACAAGTTCAGTTTGCTGGGTTCCAGGGTAATTCATGTATTAATCATCCTGTGTTTCAGGAAGAGTTTACAAATAGCGACGCAACTAGAAGACAAAGCTCTAGAGGCACAGGCCTGTTACAGCCTGGGCAACACATATACATTGCTACGTGACTATGAAAAAGCCATTGAGTACCATATGAGACATCTAGGAATTGCTCAAGAATTACATGACCGGGTCGGGGAGGGACGGGCCTGTTGGAGCCTGGGCAACGCCCACTCAGCCTTAGGGGAACATGAAGCAGCACTCAAGTTTGCAACAAAACACCTGGACATATCTCGAGGTGAGGTGACAACTTACACCACATACACTTGCTCCAGTCTCAAAGGAAATAATTGAGTTTAGATGGTAATTTCTAGATTATATTAAGAACAGGTTTCCTGGAGACATCCAAGACATGAACAAGTTTCCAGGAGACATGCAAGTCATGAACAGGTTTCTAAAAGACATCCAAGTCATGAACAGGGCCTAGATTTTCGAAGCTCTCTTAGCGCTAAGATAGTCGTAAGTGCCAAACATTAACATTAACTTACGACTATCTTAGCTAAGAGAGCTTCGAAGAGGCCCAGGTTTCTAAAACATCTAGGTCATGAACAGGTTTCTAAGAGACATCCAAGTCATGAACAGGTTTCTAAGAGACATCCAAGTCATGAACAGGTTTCTAAGAGACATCCAAGTCATGAACAGGTTTCTAAGAGACATCCAAGTCATGAACATGTAGAGTGTCTCCTGCTTGCCAGTCCGGGCCTGTCAATGCTATGAATATGTCTTCAATGATGTCCTACTACTCTTGCTAGAAATATGACCACTAGGCTACCCCACTGCCCCCATTAAGTGTGAAACAACTGATGAAATTGTGGACATTTGCGGGACCTCACATCTTCCAGTTCCAGGAAAAGGAACAATGCTTGTATTAGCTTATCCAATGTATATAGAAAGAAAATCTTCAGGGACAGAGAGAGTAAGGTTACAGTTTTCTTTCGAAAACAATAAAAGGTCTTGTTTTTTACTTCATGTATTGTCCTCCGGTGCGGATACCTAAGTCCCAACACATTCACAATGAATTTAAGCTAACCAGTTTTTTGACAACGTAATATATTTGTGATTTTATATGACGGCTAAATTTGACTACAATTGCGAGCGTTGGAAGGGAATATGTATATCCAGCTAGGGTCCATGAATGTATTGAAAGTAGTGTAAGTCCCATGGTACCTAGTATGGTGATCTACCTTCACTTGCAGATGATCTACAGTCCGTGTTTATATTGCATTGTACTGTTTAGAAATCAGCATTTTTCCTTATCTTGACTCATGCTTATTCCTTATCTCCCTTCTCCTTTCAACGGTTAAGTGGAAACGTGAATCCTTTTCAATTTCCTGCAGTGGAAAAAATCACTAGTGACGATTATGAACCTCTAAGAGACACAACTTTTGAGCTACTAACTCAAAAAACGATATTTCTCCGAGCCTTAGCTACAGCAGCAAGGATGTCTGAAATACATACACTCAACTTTGGACGAATGCGATTCGACACAGGAGAACATGCTGCAGCACACCTGGGACTAAGATGGGACTGTACAGCTAAGAATCAACTACCTGGTCAACCAGATCGTCAATTTCATGTACCAGCATTATCATCAGTGCTCGGACATCGAGACACAGAGGACTTATGCCTAGTCAGAGCTTTAAAAAATTTACTTACAACGGATTGCTACATGAAGGTGAAAGTTTAAACGTCTCTTCATCCCGTTTTCACCCGCCACGACTATTGAAGTCTCTCGAACCACAATCTCATTCTGGATCAGAGCAGTCGTTTTACGAGCCTACAAAGCAACATGTTCAGGTTTTGCGCGCCCAAACGCGCCAGATAAGTTTCCGGGTGTGATGTGTTGAAAAACACACCTTGCTTCGCGGAAACCATGTGCTGCTCGTGGGGAAGCCGTCGACGAGGGGACACGTGACTGCCCGCGGGGGGGGTCAGTTACATAGCAGAGCTTGTCAGTGTAAGACCTTATGTCACTAACATGACATTTTGGCTTTTCCTTATTATCACAACAGGACTAGAAAACTCCCTCATTGAGAAACTCACCCTGATCACACTGACTCGTTTAGGCTAGGCAACTGACCCATTGCCACCAGCAGCGAGTCCATGTCCACCTGTCTTACTTGATAAGTCAGAGCATGAATGATATAAACTCTGTTAAGTAATAGTCCTTACTTAACTTATGGGTTGCGATCTCAGTTTCGGTAATAGTCCTTACCTTAATATATGGGTTGTTTAAGATATCTAGAAATTGTAGATTACTAGATTATCTAAATCCACAAAATCTATAAGATTTAAGAGAAGGTGGTCCCCCAAATATTTCAACTAGACAACTATAAGGCCGCAAGAAGAGTTCCCAGGGGGTATGCAATCAGACTGTATTAATTGACAGCCACAGTGAATCCCAGGGGTACACCTATTCCGTCGGTTTTGATAAACAATGAGCATGAGTCAGGATAAAAATATATGTAATTTTTATGATAAAATTGATATTTTATACTTATCCTGACTCATGGGATGAACCCTCCCGGCCGTCCCCTCTCAGCATTATGGGCTTCACTGAAAGACGTAATGTGGGCTTAATTTCGGGAGAAATGATGAGAGCTAGACTCAGGTCATGTCAGACCGATTTGGCGGGCAAAGGGAGGCTACTCTTGGTAGTGATTTTACGATCGCTTCAAGGCATTGAAAAGGATTCAAGTTTCCACTCAACCGTCGAAAGGAGAAGGGAGATAAGAAATAAGCATGAGTCAGGATAAGTATAAAATATCAATTTTACCATAAAAATTACACCTCTATTGTACTAACATGTTAGCTCACCTGAACATCTCTATGGAACTAACCTGTTAGCTCACCTGAACATTGCAAGGGATGTGTGTTAACCCACTTTTATAACAGATATATGTCTGTTCCATGTTGTTTTTAGATCGGGGATGAAACAGGACAGATGACCGCAAAGATGAACCTTGTTGACCTCCGTTCTGCACTAGGCATGGCAGATCACAGCAAGGAGAACATGAACAGGTAATGATAGCACCACTTGACACAGGGAACAGTAATTTTTTGATAATATTCCAATAGATGAATGTCTGCATGGCTGTAAATAAAATTCTGATGATATCCATTAAATTTTCCAGTTCCTGTAGCGTGCTGGCCGACTTGAGAGATGCAGGAGGGAAGGATGTTAGTGATGTGGCTCTAGGTAAGATTACAGGCACTTGTTACATGGTACCTCATGCGTCTGTTCTACCACAGGCACTTGTTACATGGTACCTAATGAGTCTGTTCTGCCACTGGCACTTGTTACATGGTACCTAATGAGTCTGTTCTACCACAGGAACTTGTTACATGGTACCTAGTCAGTCTGTTCTACCACAGGCACTTGTTACATGGTACCTATTGAGTCTGTTCTACCACAGGAACTTGTTACATGGTACCTAGTCAGTCTGTTCTACCACAGGCACTTGTTACATGGTACCTAGTCAGTCTGTTCTACCACAGGCACTTGTTACATGGTACCTAATGAGTCTGTTCTACCACAGGCACTTGTTACATGGTACCTAATGATTCTGTTCTACCACAGGCACTTGTTACATGGTACCTAATGATTCCGTTCTACCACAGGCACTTGTTACATGGTACCTTATTTGTCTGTTTTACCACAGGCACTTGTTACATGGTACCTAATGATTCTGTTCTATCACAGGCACTTGTTACATGGTGCCTAATGATTCTGTTCTAACACATGCATGTGTTACATGGTACCTAATGATTCTGTTCTATCACAGGCCCTTGGTACATGGTACCTAATGATTCTGTTCTAACACAGGCACTTGTTACATGGTACCTTATTTGTCTGTTCTACCACAGGCACTTGTTACATGGTACCTTATTTGTCTGTTTTACCACAGGCACTTGTTACATGGTACCTAATGATTCTGTTCTATCACAGGCACTTGTTACATGGTACCTAATGATTCTGTTCTAACACAGGCACTTGTTACATGGTACCTTATTTGTCTGTTCTACCACAGGCACTTGTTACATGGTACCTAATGATTCTGTTCTACCACAGGCACTTGTTACATGGTACCTAATCAATCTATTCTATCGAAAGGCACTTGTTACATGGTACCTAATGATTCTGTTCTATCATAGTCATTTGTTACATGGTACTTAATGAGTCTGTTCTACCACAGGCACTTGTTACATGGTACCTAAAGAGTCTGTTCGATCACAGGCACTTGTTACATGGTACCTAATCAGTCTGTGTTACCACAGGCACTTGTTACATGGTACCTAATGCATCTGTTCTATCACAGGCACTTGTTACATGGTACCTAATGATTCTGTTCTAACACAGGCTCTTGTTACATGGTACCTAATGAGTCTGTTCTAACACAGGCTCTTGTTACATGGTACCTAATGCGTCTGTTCTACCACAAGCACTTGTTATGTGTCTGTGTTCTACCACAGCACTTGTTATGTGTCTGTGTTCTACCACAGGCTCTTGTAATGTGTTTGTGTTCTGCCACAGGCACTTGTTATGTGTCTGTGTTGTACCACAGGCCCTTGTTATTTGTCTGTGTTCTACCACAGGCTCTTGTAATGTGTCTGTGTTCTTCCACAGGCACTTGTAATGTGTCTGTGTGTTCTACCACAGGCACTTGTTATGTGTCTGTGTTCTACCACAGGCTTTTGTTGCGTGGTAACTACCATGTCTTGTTATGTTAAGGATCTTTTTATCTCTGTTGTTCCAGGACGTCGCCCAAACCGTGCACGAAGATTCAGTATGGAGAACATGGAATTAATGAAACTAACTCCAGATAAAAACAAGGTAGTTAGTTGATTTGTTAACGTTTGTTAGAACATTGCAGTGCTAATTGTGTTAAACATAGTGTAACCTTAGAATGGAGCAGTGCTGATTGTGTTAACCTCACTCAGTAAGGTAAATTACCAGATGTGTACAATTTAATTTGTCAGACAGGGAGGCTAATTGTATCAACCTAAAATAATGCTAAATATGCTGCATCTGGAACACTTAACCCTGGCAATGGAATGCTGCAATACTACGAATGGCAAAATCCAGTATTCCTTTGCATGATTATCTCGTGTTGTGGTAATGATAGCACTAGTGTTTTGAAGTTTGGATGCTTTTCACTTGTTTGGTCAATGCCAGTGTCAAATTTGCAATAACATCATCAGACATGATGCTTTACAAATTCAAAGGTATTTGTGTTCTAAATACCAGACCTGTTGCATACCCAAAAATTGATGTGTATGTACTTGCCTCGTAAAATAACTGGACATTGCAACCAGCTGTTCAGACATATCTTTCCCGATCTGGGAGTGATTTTGTTTTGAAATTACTTTTCATTGCCGATCTGACCACACATAATTTCAGCAACATTCATGAAAAGAATATTGAAGGAAATCTTGAATAAAACTATGATAATGTACTTGACAACACTGAAGAAACCTAGTGTAAGTTGAAATTGGCAGTGAACAGTTATTCTGAGATGGAAAGGATGAGCGTGTTTTTGTTTGTTACGGGTTTGTTGACATGCTAGTTCCAGGTTTGTTATGATAGTGTGTTTGTTTGTGTTATGAGCACACAGTAGTCAAATGGTAGTTCTGTATTCTGGAATACGCGTTTTGCGGGGGGTATTAAAATGGACTCCGTCCGTGCGTGCGTCCGTCCATGCACATTTGTCTTTTCCGGAGCAGAACTCTAAAACTGTTCAATATTTCTTCACCAAACTTGGCACATAGATAGATCTTGTGGTGTACTGGTGCCTTTTGGTAGTTTTGGATTTCTGAATAAAACATTTTTGGCGTTTCCATGGCAACAAGTTCGACTTAGAATGAAATTAGTGGTAGTGCTCTTTTCCGGGAGCAGAACTCTAAAACCGTTCACTATTTCTTCACCAAACTTGGCACATAGATAGGTCTGGTGGTGTAATGGTGCCTTTTGGTACTTTTGGATATCTGAATGAAATATGTTTGGCATTTCCATGGCAACAAGTGTGACATAGACTGAAATTGGTGATAGTGCTCCTTTCTGGAGCAAAACTTTAAAAACCTTTCAATACTCTCCTTCCACTTTTCTATATACACACCTAAATATTTGACATAATCATAACTCGTAGACATATTCATGAAGAGTATTTTGCCATTGCGGGGGATATTGATGACTTTGTCTTCTTGTTTATTGTTCATTGGTTTATATTGTGATTGTTGAGTAGTGTGAAGAAAATTAATATTAATTCTCTGCATTTGAAATAATGTAGCAAAGGTGACCTAAAAACATGTGGATTTTGCTATTTAAGCACACACAGCTGGTGTCGTGTTTGTTTGGCCTGAATATTTTGGTCCTCTTGATAGTATATATATTGTACCTGTACCCTGAGTAATATCAAGCTGAGGGCTGTCATCTAGAACTGTATGAAACCTTGGGGTTCTTACCTCAAGAGTTACTTTGGTAACCACCACAAGCGGCTTCAAATTGAAGGGATAAATTTTCCAGTATTGTACTTTTTGATGCTTATCAAACCTCAAATTGTGCACTTTCTCTTGTTCAAACAACCAAGGAGTTGAAACAACCTAGAACAAAGTTTTTAATCTCTTTTAACACCCATCCCAAACACACCTGAGCTCTATCTATTGTTCTTTTATTCTCTGTGAGTGAAGATGTCCTGCCTTTTAGAGACCAAGGGTGCAACTTGTTTTGGATACTCTAGAAGAATACAGGCGAAGTGTGGGCAAGGATGAACCTCACTCTTCATAGCTAACAGTCTTCATACTGGGGTGGTTCCAGGTCCAACTCAAAAGAATGAAGACAGCTGGAAGTAACATGGTTGACCGAGGCATGAGCCACTTGTGACTGTCAAGGGCAATAGATGGAGCTGGGGTGTGTTTGGGCAAGGTCTTTAAAGAGAGGCTGAAATTTTGTTCCAGGTCATTCCAACCCCATAGTTGTTGCAAGAACAAGAAAAAGTGCATTACATGAGATAAGATAGTATTTTATATATACTGATGGTAAAAAGTTAAGCAACCCCGTATGTACATGTTGATTTTCTTGCAGGTAATTAGATTTGAACCTAATGCATTTGCACATGAAAAGATGCATGAACACTTCACTCAAACACACCCAACAGAATGAGAATAGATATCATGCTGCACGTGGATAGTGAAATCCGCGAAGGCACTCGTGACTTGCACAATACAAGTTAGATGACTGGTCTTGTAAACGTCATTACACTGCAAACATTGCAGGTAACAGGATCTCGGATGCTTGACGATGGAAGATGATAGGCATGAGGGAAGCAGGCATGTTTCTGAGACAAATTTCAGGGCACTTTCACGTTAGTAAGTCAGTGGTCAGCAGGCTGTTATCCAAACACAGAGTGACATGTAATGTGAAGGACAGACCTCGTCATGGTCGACCTAGGAAGACCAGTGCACGTGACGATCGTCGTTTGGTTAGAATGGCGAAAGTTAATCCTTTTCATATTAGCAAACCAGTTACGCCAAGTGTGGAACACAAGCAACAGGCGTCAACGTTTCCCCATGAGCTAGTGAATAAACGTCTTGTGGCAGCTGGATTAACGGCTCGAAGACCCCTTAAACGCCCACGTCTTACACCTAGGCATATGCAAGACCGATTGCTCTGGGCTAGACAACGTCAAAACTGGAACATTCAAACTTGGCGACGAGTAATTTGGATGGATGAGTCACGCTACAATTTGTATGTCGCTGACGGTCGTTTACGTGTCAGACGGGCAGCCAAGGATGAGCTGATCCCAAAGTGTGTCCTTCCTACTGTCGCTGGGGGCGGCGGCTCCATAATGGTATCACTTATGACGAGAAGGTGGACATCAAGGTTGTCCAAGGAACAATGACAGGTGTAAAGTATCGCAATCAGATTATTGACAACACTGCTATTCCTTTCCTTCACGCCAATCCTGTCACAGCATTCATCTACCAAGATGTCAATGCTCGTCCACATCGTGCTATTGTTGTTCAGGAAGCCAAACAAGAGCACAGAATTGAGTCGCTTCCTTGGCCAAGTCAGAGTCCTAATCTCAACCCGATAGATGGGATGAGATCGGGAGACAAGTAAACCGTCGTGATCAACCTCTGACCAACTTACAAGAGCTTAGAAATGCTGTACTGAATGCTTGGAACAATTTACCAATGGGATTTATGCGTAATCTAGTGCTCTCTATGAGGCGAAGATGTCAGGAGGTGATAAACAGCCGAGGTGGTTACACCCATTACTGAGGGTCATTATGTCCATTTTGACTTGTCAAAACTGTGTCATCAAACAGACAAAAGTTAACAGTTTGTGCTCAACACTCACATATGTCACCTTACACTTAAAAGTTTTCCTGTGTGCCCAAACTTTGTTAGATCTTTTTTTGTCTAAAAATTACCATTTAACATCATGCAGATTAAAAGTACACCATTATGACATGGAGTTTGTCTTTTAATGATGTTTAATACCTTTGAAGTATTGGTTGATAGAGATCCACCAATATGTGTGTCATCATCAAGTGTTGGCAGTGAAAATGGTACTTCACGTTCCATAACGTTTGAAAATTATGGGGTTGCTTGACTTTTTACAATCAGTATATATACAAGAGTATTTTATACATATATTAAGAGTTTTTTCAAAGTGTATATACAGAGGCCCTTGCCAAGGTTGAAAATCTTTAATCCATGTCTCATGATCACTGTTAACCAGCAGCAGAATGTTGCCAAGGGTGCTGGAGGAGCTCGGCCCAAGGTACAGAAGTCTGCCAGCATTGCCACGGAGATGTCCATGGACACGCCCAGGGCTAAGGCAGCAATTGTTCGCCCAAAAACTGCAGATTCCGCGATCCAAGAAGAAAAGGTGAAAATCCACAAGCTATCTGTTACAACAGTAGCTGTCAGGTCGTTGAAGGTGTGACCTGTTGGCTTATGTCCCTACAACAGGTGTGAACACCAACTAGCCTGAAGGTTGTGTATAGAACCACCTGGTGTCCTAAAGGTGTGAACACCAACTAGCCTGAAGGTTGTGTATAGAACCACCTGGTGTCCTGAAGGTGTGACTGCCTTGCGGCTCGACAATACAATTTGGCTTGATTGTTTGAACACCTGCTGGGTTGCCGGTATGAATGCTTAGGCCATGACTCTTGAGTACCTGGTGCCTTGACTGAGTGAATGCCTGGTTGCTTGACCGTGAACCCCAAGGTAGCTTGAAGTTATGTCATCTTCTTGGCTTTAAGGAGTGAACACCTAGTGGTTTGAAAGTGTGACTGCCTGGTGGCTTGACAAAGTGACCACCTGGTGGCTTAACAAAGTGATCATCCGGTGGCTTGACAAAGTGATCACCTGGTGGCTTGACAAAGTGACTGCCTGGTGGCTTGACAAACTGACTGCCTTGTGACTTGACAAAGTGATAGCCTGGTGCCTTGACAAAGTGATCGCCTGGTGGCTTGACAAAGTGATCGCCTGGTGCCTTGACAAATTGATCGCCTGGTGCCTTGACAAAGTGACCACCTGGTGGCTTGAAGGTGTGACTGCCAGATGACTGGACAAATTAATCGCCTGTTGGCTTGACAAAGTGACTGCCTGGTGGCTTGAAGGTGCGACTACCAGATAGCTGGACAAAGTGATCACCTGGTGGCTTGACAAAGTGATCGCCTGGTGGCTTGATAAGTGACTGCCTGGTGGCTTGAAAGTGTGACTACCAGTTTGCTTGACAAAGTGAATGCCTGGTGGTTTGACAAAGTGACTCTCTGGTGGCTTGACAAATGAACGCATGGTGTCTTGAATTTGTGACTAGCTGGTGGCTTGACAAAGTCAGCCCCTGGTGGCTTGGAGGTTTGAAGTACAAAGTGATCGCCTGGTGACTTGACAAAGTGACTGCCTGGTGGCTTGAAGGTGTGACTACCAGATAGCTGGACAAAGTGATCACCTGGTGGCTTGACAAAGTGATCGCCTGGTGGCTTGACAAATGACTGCTTGGTGGCTTGAAAGTGTGACTACCAGTTTGCTTGACAAAGTGAATGCCTTGTGGTTTGACAAAGTGACTCTCTGGTGGCTTGACAAATGAACGCCTGGTGTCTTGAATTTGTGACTAGCTGGTGGCTTGACAAAGTCAGCACATGGTGGCTTGGAGGTATGAAGTCTTAAAGGCGTGAACACATGACTGCTTGCAGATGTGAATATGTAGTAGCTAAAGGTGTGAATGCCAGGTGTCTTGACACCTCGTAGCTTGGAATAGAAAGGCATTGTGTATTGTCTGTGAATGCCTAGGAGCTTGAAGTATAACTGCCTTGTAGGTTGAATGTATGAATACATGAACACCTTCTATACACACTCACTCACTCACTCTGTTGTTGCTGTTTCAGGATGAGAATTCTGATGACGACAGCTTCTTTGATCTCCTCAGTCGGTTCCAGAGTCGAAGGATAGATGACCAGAGATGTTCCTTTCGTCTGTCAGAACCGACACCTGCCACACCTTCCACCCCCGCCACCCAACCTCAACCCAACGGTCAATCCCTGTCCTCACAAGGTGAAAGCATAGAGTCTCTACTGAACAAACACATAATTTTGTTCCAATTTGTTTGAGCTAAACTCTTATGTAATTGTTTTGGGTCAGATGTGAGTTTCACGAGTGCCACAGTACCTGGTTTTCTTGACTATTTGCTTGACTGAAAGATGTTCTTATATCTGATGTACCTGCTATACCTGACCGCCTCAAGTGGTGTGTAGTGGTTAGAGTGTCCGCCCGAGGAGGAAGGTCGCGGGTTCGATCCCCGACCGCGGCCATACCAAAAGATCTAAAATATGGTACTTGTTGGTCCCTGCCTGGCCCTCGGCATTAATGGGTACAACAAGGACTGGTCGTCTCGGAGTCAGTATAATGTGTCTGAGTGGGATATTCATGCTTCACTGCGGCATGGTATCTCAGTGGGCTAGCACTATAAAACCAGCTTCAGTCTGGGCTAGTACAAGCAGCTGCACATACACATACACATGCATGCACGCCGTCATATGAGCGAAATATTCTCAAGCACGACGTTAAACCCAATTCCACCACCACCACCACCACCACCTGCTATACCTGTGAAGGATATTTCAACCTATAGCTGGATTAGATATAAGATCAATGCCAGTCAACATGGAAGTAATGAAGCATACAGCTCTATGGATGACATCTTCTTGTTTATTGCATAGACCGACATGTTGGTGTAGATTCTTACTCCGTTATCAAGTTAAAAGAATCTACGTTGAAACGTCTGAGTACTGTTGTTTGGTAGTTTGACAGTTTTACATGAAGTCATGGTGATACATGCTTTAGTTTTACATGAAGTCATGGTGGTACATACTTTAGTTTTACATGAAGTCATGGTGGTACATACTTTAGTTTTACATGAAGTCATGGTGGTACATACTTTAGTTTGACATGAAGTCATGGTGGTACATACTTTAGTTTGACATGAAGTCATGGTGGTACTTACTTTAGTTTGACATGAAGTCATGGTGGTACTTACTTTAGTTTGACATGAAGTCATGGTGGTACTTACTTTAGTTTGACATGAAGTCATGGTGGTACATACTTTAGTTTTACATGAAGTCATGGTGGTACATACTTTAGTTTTACATGAAGTCATGGTGGTACATACTTTAGTTTTACATGAAGTCATGGTGGTACATACTTTAGTTTTACATGAAGTCATGGTGGTACTTACTTTAGTTTTACATGAAGTCATGGTGGTACTTACTTTAGTTTTACATGAAGTCATGGTGGTACATACTTTAGTTTTACATGAAGTCATGGTGGTACATACTTTAGTTTTACATGAAGTCATGGTGGTACATACTTTAGTTTTACATGAAGTCATGGTGGTACATACTTTAGTTTTACATGAAGTCATGGTGGTACATACTTTAGTTTTACATGAAGTCATGGTGGTACATACTTTAGAAATGATTAGTATGATTTGGAGAGGTCTTGGTATTCATGACTGGAATTTCAACCTGGTTACATGAGCCTTGGTTGATCTCCAAAGACACCAGACTTCAAATTGGAAAACAAGGTTAAAACAAATTTGCAATTTAATTCATGAAAATTTGATCCATTTTCCATTGGTATATGAAGACAGCGATTACCTCAATACCTGTCATTCATCCTCGTTGTGTCTGATACCAAGGTCACATTCGTATTCGAGATAGAGCATTGATATTAAACAGTGTATGAAGACTTTATATTAGAATGACAACCTAACTATGAATATTTCTGTGGGAGAACAAAGTCTTTGAAAGGCATTAAGAAGTTGGAAGAATGTGACACGTTTTATGGATGACAACTTTTGTGTAGAGTATATATATTAGGGTTGGGGAATGTAGAAAGATAGCGATGTAATGATGAAACCAGTAAGAATGACAGGTGTGGGTGGTGGTGGTGTTCAATTATTGTGACGCAAGCAGTCCTATGTTCACGTGATACCACTTTACATATTTAACCACCATTACTAGACACAGAAATATGGAAAGATCAGTTACTTGTTCAAATAGTTGTACAAAGTCCCGCTGCTATCACTGCCTATTGCCTGAAACTGAATCTGCAAGTTGATTTGCATAAAACAAATTGAAGTCCAATGATTTCTTCCTATAAAAAGTGCCGATAATAGCAGATTCTTCTTACATGTAAGGAAAGAGTAGCATCTCAGCATATCAGAAGGATATCGAACTGCTCTAGTGTGAATCCTCACCAAGCAAGGAAGGATCCTATCCTCTAAAGCTCACTATGATTCATTTGAGATTTAGGATATTCTTGGCTGAAATGGTCGACCATGGTACACCATAGTCTTTTTACCATGGTCAACCATGGTCTGTGAACATGGTATACCAAGATATACCATGGTCTTTTACATGCTCATTTCAGCTGGGTGTCAACCTAATGGGATCTATCAGTCACTATAGACTATATACGTCATCCACTGGAACCTATGGAAGCAGTGTGTTATAGCTATATGCCTTGAATCTCTTGCAAATAAGTAGAAGACTGCCTTGACGCTGTACCAAGCCTTATGTGGGATTCAACACTGCAGTGTTAGAGGGATGTATTCTTTAGAATTACGAATATATAATAGATAGGTCAAAATATCGTCGAAAATGTGTGACATTGTGTCTTTTAAGAATAAGGTCCTCGGTAATTAGTAGGGGATGGATGGGTCTGCCTCAACCTTAAGCGCCCATTTCTGGTGTCCCCCTCCGTGATATTGCTGGAATATTGCTAAAAGCGACGTAAAACCATACTCACTCACTCACTCAACCTTAAGCGTTAGAGGTAGTATTCTAAAGATAATTTTCACTGTTGATAACACTGGAGGCATATGCACTCACTTTAGCTTCCTGTTGATGCAATAAAAGCCTTATTATCCCTTACGACTTGCCTGAAATCGATACTTGAAACTTCGAGGCAAACAGCTTCCAAACAGAGAACACTTGCCATATATGGAATGTAAACAATTGCTCTCTACATCGAAAACTGTTGCACGCAGTGTTGTTGGTGTTTACTGAACTGGTTTCAATCACACGTTGTGCGAACGATATTCATAAAGAGCGTTCCAAGGGACATAACTCTGTGAGGTTCACTTGAAATAATGTTCGGCCGGTAGAGGGGGTGAGAGTCAATTTAATTTAATATTGTAATCTAAATACGTAAATTTTAAAAAAATAAATTATATGGTATCTTCCCTCAGGACTGATAGTTATTATTATTGAGAGAAATGCATTATGTATTTTAAGAGAAGTGAGGTGTGACATTGTGCCTTTAAAGTACCCCAAAAATGTGAGGTTTTCCAGAGCTTCTGCTAGGGGAGATAACTCTGTGAATAGCATTTGGTAAATCACAGGGAAGAAGGGCGAACACAGTCCTTGAAGTTTTTTTTTATTGAGGTCAACCTGTGAATTCTGAAATAAGTTTCAAGAAAAAAAGCAATCAAGTGCTAATGGTAACATTCTGAGAATTATTACCATTGTTGATAAATTTCAAATTCCCCTTGTTTATCATGTGATTAGTTGGTGAAGTAAGAAGAAATTTACTTACCCATTGCAGTTGCCTCCCCTGGCACAGATGATTTCCTGGACATGGTGGCAGGCATCCAGGGATCACGCATGAACGATCAGCGAGCAGAGTGTCCCTCATTTCCCGGCCTCAGTTCACAGGCTGTCATTGGTCAGTTACTCCAGCAGAAGTCTGACGACACGGTCCCAGATGACAACTTCTTTGAAATGCTGATGAGATGTCAGGTTAGAACTGTCTTTTGTATTTCAAAGGTATTCAGACACATGGAAGTGCACTTAGATTTTGTAGTTTCGCTGAGCATAGACACCCAGGGATATCGCATATATCTCCATAATTTTCTTCTGAAATACTTTTTGACACTAAATCAAGGTCCAAGTGAGGCCTAGAACATGAAGGATACATGTTGTAAATATCATTCATACTGGGTGTCAGGAAACGTTAGCAGAAGTGCAGTAAGTGAGATAGAAGTGCACTAAGTGAGATAGAAGTGCAGTAAGTGAGATAGAAGTGCAGTGAGATAGAAGTGCAGTAAGTGAGATAGAAGTGCAGTAAGTGAGATAGAAGTGCACTAAGTGAGATAGAATGCATTAAGTGAGATAGAAGTGCAGTAAGTGAGACAGAAGTGTACTAAGTGAGATAGAAGTGCAGTAAGTGAGATAGAAGTGTACTAAGTGAGATAGAAGTGCAGTAAGTGAGATAGAAGTGCAGTAAGTGAAACAGAAGTGCAGTTAGTGAGATGGAAGTGTACTAAGTGAGATAGAAGTGCAGTAAGTGAGATAGAAGTGTACTAAGTGAGATAGAAGTGCAGTAAGTGAGATAGAAGTGCACTAAGTGAGATAGAATGCACTAAGTGAGATAGAAGTGCAGTAAGTGAGATAGAAGTGCACAAGGTGAGATTGAAGTGCACTAAGTGAGATAGAAGTGCACAAAGTGAGATAGAAGTGCAGTAAGTGAGAAACCAGTGTACTAAGTGAGATAGAAGTGCAGTAAGTGAGATAGAAGTGCAGTAAGTGAGACAGAAGTGCAGTTAGTGAGATAGAAGTGTACTAAGTGAGATAGAAGTGCAGTAAGTGAGATAGAAGTGCAGTAAGTGAGATAGAAGTGTACTAAGTGAGACAGAAGTGCAGTAAGTGAGATAGAAGTGCAGTAAGTGAGATAGAAGTGCACTAAGTGAGATAGAAGTGCAGTAAGTGAGATAGAAGTGCAGTAAGTGAGATAGAAGTGCAGTAAGTGAGATAGAAGTGCAGTAAGTGAGATAGAAGTGCACTAAGTGAGATAAAATATGTCTTTAAAATATAGAATTTGTAAGAAATACATAATTTTGGGCACCTTAATTTAACAGACTGGTCAAGCAGGACAGGTATTGGGTACCTTAATTAAACAGAGAGGTCAAGTGAGAGAGGTATTGGGTACTTTTATTAAACAGAGAGGTCAAGTGGAGAGAGGCATTGGTACCTTAATTAAACAGAGAGGTCAAGCAAGACAGGTATTGGGTACCTTAATGAAATAGAGAGGTCAAGTGAGAGAGGTATTGGGTACCTTAATTAAACAGAGAGGTCAAGTGAGAGAGGTATTGGGTACCTTAATTAAACAGAGAGGTCAAGTGAGAGAGGTATTGGGTACCTTAATTAAACAGAGAGGTCAAGCAAGACAGGTATTGGGTACCTTAATGAAATAGAAAGGTCAAGCAAGACAGGTATTGGGTACCTTAATTAGATAGAGAGGTCAAGTGGTATAAATGGACTCCTTATTACCATTGTGTGTGGTTAGGATTGATAGTGGACAACATAACTATGGGCTCCTCTCTCAACAGGCATCTCGCTTGGAGGACCAGAGAAGTGCTCTGCCCCAGCGGCCAGCCGCTCCCACCGTGCCCGACGAAGACTTCTTCAACCTGATCCAGCGTGTGCAATCCAGTCGACTAGAGGAGCAACGCACATCCATGCCAGCAGACTCAAAGCCAAACTCAGATTCATCCAGGAAAAGCAAGAAGAAGTGACAGTGTTGACAGTTGTGTGTGAGAGTGCAGGGCTGGTTCATACAGTTGACGGTCATGCTCAACACTGCCCCGGGGCACCTGCAACACATCTGCCTGACAGTTTACATGACACAAGTCATTATCTGCCTCATTGTGTGCCAGTGAACAATCAGATGTGCATATTCTATCCATAAACAATTTTGTCTATATGTCGTTTTCAGCTGAACATATTATCTGCAATCCTAGCATACATTGTTACCTTACATGTGGAGCTCAACGATGACTCTTGATATCAATATGCCATTTATCTTTAGCAGCTTCATTACTAGCAGTAGTTCATTGGGAAAATATAGCTTGAACAGATCTTTCCATTTGACTCGGCGAGTTACCTCCCTTGTAGATGACGCCTCCCTTCCTCAGACTGAAACAAACAATTACCTCCCCTTGCAAGCTGATGGAGATGGATTTTGTATGTATCCATTACATCAGTGTCATGAGGGGCTCGGGTGTTTGGATGTACCATATTTTCTTGAGTATAATGCACACCCAAACATAATGCACAACCCCACTAGGAAATTCAGTAGTTTAAAAAAAATAGATTTCGAGTATTATGTAAAGAAAAAGCTACATTGTATCCCTTCAGCAAATTCAGGGATAAACAAACAGGTATCATAAATCTTGGTTAAAAGTATTTAAAATTTGAGATAAAATCTCTCTTGACATAATGATTTACCATTGATATTATATCTCCCGTTCTGCTGGAAGTTTGTGTACTTGCAGAGATTAAGAAGTGTTTCCTCAAGATCTAAGCCGAAAAAAAAGCAATCTGCTGTGCAGGTTTTCTCTTAATCTGCTGAAGAATCATTTATAACATACTCAATCAAATAACTTCGAACAATTTAGTCGCAGTGATCAGAAGAATTATACCTGAGCTATTATTTTATCAGGAATATTGTGTTCCAATATTGAATTTTAGTTCCAAGTTTGAATAAATATTTTTTAATGATAATATGCATAGCTCTTTGGTACAGCTGATTGCATGGGTCAGACATTGTGTATCTCTGTAACTACTTGTCAAGTACTTCTGGGTCTCTCTTCCTCGGCGACTGCCAAACATTTGTGTACATATGTGCATTATACTTGGGAAAATAAGGTACTCCACAAACCTTTGTAGCCTTGCTGGTCTGAGAGGTGAGACCCTGCATGAAGTTCAAGAACCCTGGACAGAAATGTAGCAGTTGTAAAGATGTTGCAGGGAAGCTAACGTTGCCATACTGGAGATTTTAACAAATCAGGAAATATAATTCTTATGGAAGGTTTGGATATTCACGTTATTCATGGTTAGTGTGTCTATCTCCGGTTAAAAGTTATGTTTTCCTTTCTTTATCTTTAACAAAGTGTGTGTGAAGACCATCTCACCAACACTGTTGGTGTGTGTGAAGACCATCTCACAACACTGGTGTGTGTGTGTGAAGACCATCTCACAACACTGTTGGTGTGTGTGAAGACCATCTCACAACACTGTTGGTGTGTGTGAAGACCATCTCACAACACTGTTGGTGTGTGTGTGTGAAGACCATCTCACAACACTGTTTGGTGTGTGTGAAGACCATCTCACAACACTGTTTGGTGTGTGTGAAGACCATCTCACAACACTGTTTGGTGTGTGTGAAGACCATCTCACAACACTGGTGTGTGTGAAGACCATCTCACCAACTCTGGTGTGTGTGAAGACCATCTCACCAACACTGTTGGTGTGTGTGAAGACCATCTCACCAACACTGTTGGTGTGTGTGAAGACCATCTCACCAACACTGTTGGTGTGTGTGAAGACCATCTCACCAACACTGTTGGTGTGTGTGAAGACCATCTCACCAACACTATTTGGTGTGTGTGAAGACCATCTCACCAACACTGTTTGGTGTGTGTGAAGACCATCTCACAACACTGGTGTGTGTGAAGACCATGTCACCAACACTGTTTGGTGTGTGTGAAGACCATCTCTCAACACTGTTTGGTGTGTGTGAAGACCATCTCACCAACACTGGTGTGTGTGTGAAGACCATCTCTCCAACACTGTTTGGTGTGTGTGAAGACCATCTCACAACACTGTTTGGAATTGATGTGTTAAAATCAGTTACTGCAAAGAGCGTGTGTGAAGACGAGAATAGATGCAATGATATCCTGACCTTGTGGATTTGACCTGGCAGTGTACGCTGCAAAGAATATACTGGGTAATATTGGAGGAGGGAGGGGTGAGGGGGTCCAAGGCAGCCTCCCAGGCAGCACCCACACAGTACAAACAGTTGCAATTAGATGTCTTGCAGTCAGTTAGACTTACTGTCAAAACATTTGCCATACAAAAGTGCATTACCCAGAGTTTACATTGGCTCAAATATGAAGATCATTTTCTTAAACATTCTATTGCTGAAGATATTTTGAGACATTTGAATGACCTCTTTTAACTTTGATGGCTATAATAATGATCTCCGTTGCATTTGATAAGTCCTACTTGACATTCATGACACATGGTTCAAAGCTGAGTCCGGTCTGAGATGAATGGGTTGTCAAAAAATGGGTCATCCAGCACTGTCTAAACCAAAAATCACTAAGTATGGTCAGCCAGCACTTTGTGAACCAACCTTGACTTAATGTGGTCAGCCAGCACTGTGTGAACCAAACTTCACATAGTATGGTTGCCAAAACTGTGTAAGCCAACCTTCTGACTAGACACACCCAATGAAAGTCTGACTGTAGACACACCCAGTGAAAGTCTGGCTGTAGACACACCCAGTGAAGGCCTGGCTGTAGACACACCCAGTGAAGGACTGGCTGTAGACACACCCAGTGAAGGTCTGGCTGTAGACACACCCAGTGAAGGCCTGGCTGTAGACACACCCAGTGAAGGCCTGGCTGTAGACACACCCAGTGAAAGTCTGGCTGTAGACACACCCAGTGAAGGCCTTGCTGTAGACACACCCAGTGAAAGTCTGACTGTAGACACACCCAGTGAAGGTCTGACTAGACACACGCAGTGAAAGTCAGACTGTAGACACACCCAGTGAAAGTCTGGCTGTAGACGCACCCAGTTAAGGCCTGGCTGTAAACACACCCAGTGAAGGCCTGGCTGTAAACACACCCAGTGAAGGCCTGGCTGTAGACACACCCAGTGAAGGCCTGGCTGTAGACACACCCAGTGAAAGTCTGACTGACTGTAGACACACACAGTGAAAGTCTGGCTGTAGACACACCCAGTGAAGGTCTGGCTGTAGATACACCCAGTGAAGGCCTGGCTGTAGACACACCCAGTGAAGGTCTGGCTGTAGACACATCCAGTAAAAGTCTGACTGTAGACACACCCAGTGAAAGTGTGGCTGTAGACACAACCAGTGAAGGCCTGGCTGTAGACACACTCAGTGAAAGTCTGACTGTAGACACACCCAGTGAAAGTCCGACTGTAGACACACCCAGTGAAAGTCTGGCTGTAGACACACCCAGTGAAAGTCTGGCTGTAGACACACCCAGTGAAAGTCTGACTGTAGACACACCCAGTGAAGGCCTGGCTGTAGACACATCCAGTGAAGGTCTGGCTGTAGACACACCCAGTGAAAGTCTGACTGTAGACACACCCAGTTAAAGTCTGGCTGTAGAGACACCCAGTGAAAGTCTGGCTGTAGACACACCCAGTGAAGGCCTGACTGTAGACACACCCAGTGAAGGTCTGACTGTAGACACACCCAGTGAAGGCCTGGCTGTAGACACACCCAGTGAAGGCCTGGCTGTAGACTCAACCAGTGAAGGCCTGGCTGTAGACACACCCTGTGAAGGCCTGGCTGTAGAAACACCCAGTGACAGCTGCATCATGGGAGAGAGTAGATTGGGTAAGGTTGTGTTATATTTGTACATGTTGTTGGTGTGTTATGTACTGTATGTCATTACATTTGTAAATATAGAGCATTCACTGTGAATTTATCTTATGCATTGTAGATACAACTTTGATTTTAATTCTGTTAAGTTTTATTTAAGAATCAAGTAACTTTGTTCAAACGAATATCATGTATGAAGTCCCAATTTTTAGTGTGCCAAACTGTAAGATATGAGAAACCAGTTTTTCAAGACCATCATGAAGCCCCCTGTGGCTCACTGGTCTGTCCGACTAATTCAGTTTGGTTTAATAAAGAATGTGTGAGGTCTGACATACAGACATGGGAAAATACAGGGTAAGGTTAGACACTGAGGGAAATGACTTGGCTGTAGGCTGACACTGTTCCACACATCAGGGGTTCAGCCATTTCAGCTGTTCGTTGACGTGGTCCTCATGCCTAGTTATCTGAGGTAGCACACTTGGCTGTTGGTTGACGTGGTCCTCATGCCTTGTTATCTGAGATATGACATGTGGCTGTTGGTTGATGTGTCCAAGTCTAGTTATCTGAGGAACCACCATTGGCTGTTGGTTGACGTGGTCATCATGCCTAGTTATCTGAGATATGACATGTGGCTGTTGGTTGATGTGTCCAAGTCTAGTTATCTGAGGAACCACCATTGGCTGTTGGTTGACGTGGTCATCATGCCTAGTTATCTGAGGTACCACCCTTGGCTGTTGGTTGACGTGGTCATCATGCCTAGTTATCTGAGGTACCACCCTTGGCTGTTGGTTGATGTGGTCATCATGCCTAGTTATCTGAGGTACCACCCTTGGCTGTTGGTTGATGTGGCCCTCATGCCTAGTTATCTGAGGTAGCACACTTGGCGGTTGGTTGACGTGGTCATCATGCCTAGTTATCTGAGATATGACATGTGGCTGTTGGTTGATGTGTCCAAGTCTAGTTATCTGAGGAACCACCATTGGCTGTTGGTTGACGTGGTCATCATGCCTAGTTATCTGAGGTACCACCCTTGGCTGTTGGTTGACGTGGTCATCATGCCTAGTTATCTGAGGTACCACCCTTGGCTGTTGGTTGACGTGGTCATCATGCCTAGTTATCTGAGGTACCACCCTTGGCTGTTGGTTGACGTGGTCATCATGCCTAGTTATCTGAGGTACCACCCTTGGCTGTTGGTTGACGTGGTCATCATGCCTAGTTATCTGAGGTACCACCCTTGGCTGTTGGTTGACGTGGTCATCATGCCTAGTTATCTGAGGTACCACCCTTGGCTGTTGGTTGACGTGGTCATCATGCCTAGTTATCTGAGGTACCACCCTTGGCTGTTGGTTGACGTGGTCATCATGCCTAGTTATCTGAGGTACCACCCTTGGCTGTTGGTTGATGTGGCCCTCATGCCTAGTTATCTGAGGTACCACCCTTGGCTGTTGGTTGACGTGGTCATCATGCCTAGTTATCTGAGATATGACATGTGGGTGTTGGTTGATTTGTCCAAGTCTAGTTATCTGAGGTACCAAACTTGGCTGTTGGTTGATGTGGCCCTCATGCCTAGTTATCTGAGGTACCACACTTGGCTGTTGGTTGATGTGGTCATCGTGCCTAGTTATCTGAGATATGACATGTGGGTGTTGGTTGATTTGTCCAAGTCTAGTTATCTGAGGTACCAAACTTGGCTGTTGGTTGATGTGGCCCTCATGCCTAGTTATCTGAGGTACCACACTTGGCTGTTGGTTGACGTGGTCATCATGCCTAGTTATCTGAGATATGACATGTGGCTGTTGGTTGATTTGTCCAAGTCTAGTTATCTGAGGTACCAAACTTGGCTGTTGGTTGATGTGGCCCTCATGCCTAGTTAACAAAGGTACCACCCTTGGCTGTTGGTTGATGTGGTCATCATGCCTAGTTATCTGAGATATGACATGTGGGTGTTGGTTGATTTGTCCAAGTCTAGTTATCTGAGGTACCAAACTTGGCTGTTGGTTGATGTGGCCCTCATGCCTAGTTATCTGAGGTACCACACTTGGCTGTTGGTTGACGTGGTCATCATGCCTAGTTATCTGAGATATGACATGTGGCTGTTGGTTGATGTGTCCAAGTCTAGTTATCTGAGGTACCAAACTTGGCTGTTGGTTGATGTGGCCCTCATGCCTAGTTATCTGAGTGCCACCACACTTGGCTGTTGGTTGACGTGGTCATCATGCCTAGTTATCTGAGATATGACATGTGGCTGTTGGTTGATTTGTCCAAGTCTAGTTATCTGAGGTACCAAACTTGGCTGTTGGTTGATGTGGCCCTCATGCCTAGTTAACAAAGGTACCACCCTTGGCTGTTGGTTGATGTGGTCATCATGCCTAGTTATCTGAGGAACCACCATTGGCTGTTGGTTGATGTGGCCTCATGCCTAGTTATCTGAGGTATCACACTAGACTGTTGGTTGATGTGGTCATCATGTCTAGTTAACAAAGGTACCACCCTTGGCTGTTGGTTGATGTGGCCTCATGCCTAGTTATCTGAGATATGACATGTGGCTGTTGGTTGATTTGTCCAAGTCTAGTTATCTGAGGTACCAAACTTGGCTGTTGGTTGATGTGGCCCTCATGCCTAGTTAACAAAGGTACCACCCTTGGCTGTTGGTTGATGTGGTCATCATGCCTAGTTATCTGAGGAACCACCATTGGCTGTTGGTTGATTTGGCCTCATGCCTAGTTATCTGAGGTATCACACTAGACTGTTGGTTGATGTGGTCATCATGTCTAGTTAACAAAGGTACCACCCTTGGCTGTTGGTTGATGTGGTCATCATGCCTAGTTATCTGAGGAACCACCCTTGGCTGTTGGTTGATGTGGCCCTCATGCCTAGTTATCTGAGGTACCACCCTTGGCTGTTGGTTGATGTGGTTCTCATGCCCAGCTATCTGAGGTACCACACTTGGCTGTTGGTTGATGTGGTCATCATGCCTAGTTATCTGAGGTACCACACTAGGCTGTTGGTTGATGTTGTCATCATGTCTAGTTATCTGAGGTACCACCCTTGGCTGTTGGTTGATGTGGTCATCATGCCTAGTTATCTGAGGTACCACACTTAGCTGTTGGTTGATGTGGTCATCATGCCTAGTTATCTGAGGTACCACACTGGACTGTTGGTTGATGTGGCCAAGTCTAGCTATCTGAGGTACCACACTAGACTGTTGGTTGATGTGGTCATCATGCCTAGTTATCTGAGGAACCACACTAAACTGTTGGTTGATGTCATCAGATCATTGGCCTACAGCCATGTATGGTTTGAATTCTAGATTCCAGATGGGTATGAGTGTTGGTTTGTCTGTACCATACCTATGCTCTGTGATTATGTTTAAGTGGTAAACACACTAAACTGTCAACCTGTAACATGGCTGATATTCTGTTAATGATATCATTAGACTCAACTCACTCACTCACTCACTTGAGGTTTGATGAATGTACCATAGTACTAAGAGCAGCTTTAAGGCCTGTTGAGTTCAGGTGCTATTTATGGTTTGGAAAGATTGCAAAGCGCGTTGTCTTTCATTTGATTGCCTTTATACATAAAGCATTGTGAAGTACAAGTCTAGTTAGTAGTGATCTCTTGAATGAGTGTCCTGGAGGTACAGTGGTTGTTTGGAGAGAAGTCGAGGACATACTTACAATGTCATTTAGAAAGTGGTCAAATGTAACCTATGTAATATTTAGGATTACACTATCTCTGTAAAATACAGATTGTTGTGCTTTCTTAGGTTTAGTCCCATCCAGGATTCAAACCCACACAACACACAATGTCAGCGATGTAACCCTACCAGCCACCACGGCTGGGTTGGAATCCTGGATGTGACTCAACCTAACAAAAGTGCTTGAATTTGTAATTAACTGAGAAAGTGTAATCCCAAATACAACATATGTTGCAATTACCATGTTTGTAGATATTTGCCTTGAAAGCCTGATAGTGTACTTGTATCTAGAAATTGACAATTACGTTTCCTCAAGTGAGGCAGAGGTATGCAAGATAGCATGGGTGTGTGGAGAGATGGACACAGGCAGAGGTATGCCCTAAGAAAACATCCCTGATCACTGAAAGGAGGTGTGTTATGCAGTTCTTAAGAAGTCTTTGGTTGTAGATATTCCTGACATGTCTCCCTCTCTGGGAAGTTAGTCTGGAGCATGTTATATGCCCAAGTCTCAAGTGCGGACATAATTTCTTTCATTTTTTTTGTATAATTCTCAAAGTCACTGTTGTAAACTTGCTGCAAGAGATTGGTTGGATCACATGATTGCCAAGCACACAGAACACCCATGTAACTAATTAGACCTAGCCAGTCAATTTATTTGTCATAGTAGTTTACAATCAAACATGTTTCAATGATATACAATATTTTTTGTGAAATCATTTGTATATCAGATGTTTCCAGCATGCCAAATTACAGGTTAGGAGCCACTGGCGCTGGTGTCACACCATATATACAAGATAAGTAAAGAAGTGCCTCAGACCAATATTCATATTTCAGATGCATTGTTTCATGGCAATGGTATATTTTTCTTTAATTATGTATCCAGGATCAGTTGTAAGGCTATTCCAAAGAATCTGTTTCAAGGTAATCAGCAAAATCTGTTACTATCTTACTTTGGGCTATCTTGAATCTGTTGTATGCAGACAGTTTTTCAAATACATGAAGCAGATTTCATCAGTGCTTGTTAGCATAAGTGCTTTGCTCAATGCCTGGTAGGGCCAACCAGGAATGGTGAAGGGCTGTATGCAAGACTTGCCCTTCCAGCTT